CCACGCTCGCCCGTTCTCTCACATGTAGGCCTACCAGCTAAATTTGACGCCGCTAGAATTTTGGACCCTGAACGTAAAGCCATAGATCTACGGCATGGACCCTGAAAGGGTTAAAATGCTGACTTTGAGGTGTATTTTCGTATAGTGCAGTGGACCCTCGCATAACGTTGGCATCACATAACGTTAAATCCGCATAGCGATACATTTTATCACTAAAATTTTGCCTCGCATAGCGCTAAAAAAAAACTCAATGCTATTCGTCCGAGACGAGTCTGTGCGGCCTGAGCCAGCCTCGCATGTTCCGCCGGTGGCATTGTTTACAAGCCAGCCTCCACGGTAACATCCAAGCATACAATCGGAACATTTCGTGTTATTACAGCATTTTTGGTGATTTCATCTGCAAAATAAGTGACCATGGGCCCCAAGAAAGCTTCTAGTGCCAACCCTACAGGAATAAGGGTGAGAATTACTATGGAGATGAAGAAAGAGATCATTGCTAAGTATGAAAGTGGAGTACGTGTCTCCAAGCTGGTCAGGTTGTATAGTAAACCCCAATCAACCATCGCTACTATTGTGTCCAAGAAAACGGCAATCAAGGAAGCTGTTCTTGCCAAAGGTGCAACTGTGTTTTCGAAACAGAGATCGCAAGTGATAGAAGATGTTGAGAGACTCTTATTGGTGTGGATAAATGAAAAACAGATAGCAGGAGATAGCATCTCTCAAGCGATCATAAGTGAAAAGGCTAGGAAGTTGCATCAGGATTTAATTAGAAAAATGCCTGCAACTAGTGATGTGAGTGAATTTAATACTAGTGTCAGAACAAAGATTGGTTATGAAATGACAAGAACTACTATAAACTATAATTAACAGAACATAAAAATTATATAAAATATGAAAAATAGAAAAAAGGTATATCGGCAACACTTCTGCAAGAGGCAGGACTCCATGTTGCCATCACATGAGCATCCAGTGCCAACTTCTCTGCCTCATATCTCTAAGTACTGACCCTAATTTTTGTTTTGTTTCCTAAAACACTCAATTTTTTTTTTTTTTTTTCCAAAATATTCGGGGTGCTGTGCGAGCGAACGTAATCGGCAGAATGAAAATCAGGGATTTTTATCGTATTATCATTATTCTTGTATTCCCAGTTAATGCTAAAAGTGATGGATTTGTGATCACTTGCGCCAAGCTCTTCAGTGATCTCCAGATTATTTAAGTGTTTCCTTCTTTGACAAGACTAGGTCAACCAAATTATTACCCTTGGTAGGCTCTGTTACACACTGCATCAGAAAACATGAATCATGAAATTGTAATGACACGATTGCAAACAAACCATACCACATGTTGAGTTGTGTTGACGGCTTTGAGGGGACTTGAGCTAGAGTTCGTCATGGCCACGCTAGCTGCAGATTCGTCTGTAAAAACTTGCATTTGTGGTCGCAGTGGTGCCTTTGCTAACCTTCCTATGGTATAGAAATATACCTAGTTGGACGAATCTTATTGTGGCTAGCTGGTCCAGTGGCTAACGCAACGGTCTGGAGTTTTGAGACTCTCTGATCGCGGGTTTTATCCCTCCCATGGTATGGTTTGCATCAGAAATGTCCTGAACCGTTTCCATAAAGCCACTGGACTCCAGATTACCGGTCAAAGAAGTGCAGTCAATTTGACTAAGTTAAAATCCCCTACTAACACTACGTTATTGTCTAGAAGCCCTAACAATTTCGTCCCAAAGAAGTCTCCCTCTATCGTGATCCAAGCCTGGAGGTCGGTATATTACACCTAGAATTAGTTTTTCTTGACCTTCTACAAACTCTACCCAAACAGATTCTGTTACTGTTCCATCTATTTTTATACCTGTTTTTATGCAACAATTACAGTGGTCCCTCAATAATCGTCTGCCTCGATAGTCTTCCTTTTCGGAAATTGTCGCATTATTCTCGTCCAAACATTGCCTCGCAAATGGTCGGTTTACTCGCTAATCGTCCTTCGTCCGAGACGTACTCACGCTCTGAGCCACCTCAGCCTCCCTTCCCAGCCAGTGTGCCATTGTTTACCAGTGAGAAAGAGTCCTCTCACTTGTTCATATGAAATATTTCATAATATTCCATTCATTTTAGTGCTTGCAAGTGCTAAATAAGCTACCATGGCTCCAAAGAAAGCTCCTAGTGCCAAGCCTTTGGTAAAGAAAGTGAGAAATACGATTGACTTTAAGAAAAACATGATTGAACAATATGAAAGTGGTGTACGTGTGGCCGAACTGGCCAGGATGTATAACAAATCCCGTACAACCATATCTTCCATCGTGGCCGAGAAAAAGGAAATAAAGGAAGTTGTTGCAAAGGGGGTAAATATGCTGACAAAATGAGATCACCAGTACTCGAAGATGTTGAGAAGTTTATTATTGGTGTGGATGAATGAGAAACAATTAGCAGGAGATACTCTTATGACATTGATTATTTGTGAAAAGGCTAGGCAGTTGCATGACGATCTGGTAAAGAAATTGCCTGCAACGAGTGCTGATAATTGTGAATTTAAGGCCAGCAAAGGTTGGTTTGAGAGATTTAAGAAGTGTAGTGGCATAGTGTGATAAGGGATGGTGAAATGTGGGGTAGGATGGAAAGATTTATGGAGAAACATCACACTGCGAAGGATGTTGCAAGCCATATCGGCAGCTTGTACAGTGACAGAGTCTTGGCCCATTTTAAGGAAGTTTAAAGAGACAACCAGAAACAGAGCTCTCTGGACACTTTTTTTGTGAGACAGGACTCCAGTGACTCTCAAGCTGGTCCTAGTGGCATTAAGAAACAGAGAAGAGAAATAACCCCAGAAAAGCACTTGGTACCTAAGGTGTTGATGGAAGGGGATTCCCCTTCCAAACAGTAATTCAGTGTCTCTCCTCCTCCAGTCTTCTATACACTAAGAAGAATCGCCAATGAAGGTAAGTGTTATGCTGTTAATGTTTCATTCATCATGTCCCATTGTATTGTTTATGTACTACATCCATATTTCATGTAAACAAAAATTTTTGTTTTAATACTTCTGGGTGTCAGGAACGGATTAATTGTATTTACATTATTTCTTATGGGGAAAATTGATTCGAAAATCATCTTTTTCGATAATTGTCGCACTTCCAGGAACGGATTAACGACGATAAATGAGGGACCACTGTAATATTTTCTCGAACATATATGTAATGCAACTCCTCCTCCCTTCCCATTACATCTATCCACATGGAACAACTTAAACCTTGAATATTACTCTGCAATCATATCTTGACTCTTTAACCCTTTCAGGTTGGTGCCGTACTAGTACAGCTTGCACGCCAGGGTTGGTGCTGTACTAGTACGCATAAATTCTAGCGCCTTCAGATCTAGAGAGAGAGAAAGCTGGTAGGCCTACATATGAAAGAATGGGTATGTGGTCAGTGTGCACGGTATAAAAAAAAATCCGCAGCACACAGTGCATAATGAGAGAAAAGTGTTTTTGGTTACAACAGCGACTTTGCAGTGTATTTTTCGTATGCTATTTATGGTTGTATTCTAGTTTTCCTAGTCTCATTTTATAGAATGGAAGACGTATTACGGAAATTGAGATGATTTTGATTGGTTTCACAATGAAAAGTACCTTGAAATTGAGCTCAAAGTAGCAGAAATGTTCGATTTTTGCCAAAGTTCAAAGGTAAACAAATCATGCCACGAGTCCAATACACCTCAACTGGCGAGTCTAATATTCTTTCACAAGTGCGCTGATATTATTTATACCATTTCTACACCATTTCTACAATAATGCAATAGTCTGCATAACATAAATCTTCTGTATTTTTGTGAGAATAAAAATTCCAAGTAGAAAGCAAAAGAAATGTAACAGGCCTAGGGACATGAGTAATGAACAGACGAAATGTTATTTTAGTGCCAGGAATGTCTGTCTTGTTTATTCTGGACCCTACTTGGAAATTGGAATCTTTTGAAATTTGTGTGAAATTGGCAATACATATTGCCAATTTGACCACTTTATTGGATAATTGAAATCAGTAAATTGGTGGTTTCTTGTACTCATTCGATAGAAAAAAAATGGAGTTCTAGCAAAATAGGTTTGATTTTTGTCGACTGGTACATTGGAATTGGCCAAAAACAGGGTTCAAAGTGGGCGAAATCGCCGATGCGTAAACATCGTCGAGACCGCTAACTTCACAAGAGCATAATCTCTTAAGTTTTCTATCAAATTTCATACTTTTGGTGTCATTATGATCGGGAAAAGATTGTCATTTCATGAGGATTTTTTTTTTTTCCCGAAAAATTTCCGACCCTGAGAACAAGTTTAGGAGAGGGCCTGCCAACCCTGGAAGGGTTAAATCATACCATGTTTCAGTTAATGCAATGACATCAAAGTTCCCAGCACACGCTACCAAACGTAGTTCATTAATCTTATTTCTTGCACTTCGACTGTTAGCATAAAATACTATTGTATGTTTTTTCTTCTGCACATTTTTCCTATTCACCTTTGTTTTTACACAATTTCTGAAATTATCATTACCCAGAGTTACTCCATGACAGTTATTAAGATTCTTAATATCAGAGCATAAGTAAATATATCCATACTCATTATTTATCATATCTAAACCCATACCTCTAACTAATCCTGGTTTAAAGTCCTAACAACCGTATCCAGAAGCAAAAAATCATAAGCCGAGGTTTCACTGTAATTAATGTATCTTTGTCATTCCTGGAGGATTAAGATAACTTAGCTCACTAGAATAACTAATCACTAATTTTTGGGGGTGGATGCCTGTGTACTGTAATTAGACTTTACAGGCTATTAATTTAGTTCTAGTCTATATTGATAATCAAATTTTCTAGTCTTACTTTTTCCATAGTAATAATTTTACTGACTTGATGTTTAAGTGGTTATTACTTGTAATTTTTTCAGCCTTCAGTTTAAGCTCATTTTTTTTTTTTTAATTCTTTTATTCATCAGAATTGTAATTTAGTCTTGTTTTGCAGGTGATTAAAAAAGAACAGAAAAATAAAACTGCAAAGGTGAAGAGTATTAAGGAAACAAATGCAGACGAAGGAAATGTTGATCCTGGTGTCGCTAGTCAGGGTTCGGCTGTGTTTCAAGAGAAGTGGTTGATGGCAACTAAGAGTTTTTCCTCTAGTGATTCAGCTGAGGAAGACATGATTCCTGTTATACCAAAAGGTTAGTTTTACATTTTCAAAATTAAGTTGGCAGAGAGCATGCATATTAGTAAATCCCTCTTGTAGGGAAAAGGAAGTGAAGAGAATGCAGGACTTATGGGATAAGCCTGTTGATTACACCATGTAGTTTATTATTATTATTATTATTATTATTATTGTGGACCCCCGCATACCGATTTTAATCCGTGCAAGAGGGCTCATTGGTATGCGAATGAATTTTCCCCATAAGAAATAATGGAAATCAAATTAATCCGTGCAAGACACCCAAAAGTATGAAAAAAAAAAAATTACCACGTGAAATATACATTTTCCTACACACAAAGAGAAGGATACATGCACAATAGTAGAGTAGTACATGCACAGTATATATTGTGCATGTACTAGTCTACTAAATGAAGAATAAATGACACTTACCTTTATTGAAGATGCAGCAATGACTGATGAGACAGTGTCCTGGGAGTGCCTTTTCCTCCTGAGTACTGTAGGTCCTGTTTGGTTTTTTCTTCCAGAACATGCCTTATCACACTGTGTATGTCACTACGATTCTTAAATCTCTCAAACCAACCTTTGCTGGCTTTAAATTCACCAATATGAGCACTAGTTCCAGGCATTTTTCCCTGTTCACCTGGGTGTTAGTCGACTGGTGTGGGTTGCATCCTGGGAGACAAGATTAAGGACCCCAATGGAAATAAGTTAGACAGTCTTCGATGATACTGACTTTTTTGGGTTATCCTGGGTGGCAAATCCTCTGGGGTTAATTGTTTGTTGGTATATTCTCAATAAGCCACACCAACAACAGTGCTACAGCAGCAGCAGACGATGCTACAGCAGCAGCAGACGATGCTACAGCAGCAGCAGCAGCTGACAGTGCTACAGCAGCAGCAGACGATTTCTAACAGCAGCAGCAGACGATGCTACAGCAGCAGCAGCAGACGATGCTACAGCAGCAAGCAGCAGACGATGCTACAGCAGCAGACGATGCTACAGCAGCAGACGATGCTACAGCAGCAGCAGCAGACGATGCTACAGCAGCAGCAGCAGACGATGCTACAGCAGCAGCAGCAGACGATGCTACAGCAGCAGCAGCAGACGATGCTACAGCAGCAGCAGCAGACGATGCTAACAGCAGCAGCAGCAGACGATGCTACAGCAGCAGCAGCAGCAGACGATGCTACAGCAGCAGCAGCAGCAGACGATGCTACAGCAGCAGCAGCAGCAGACGATGCTACAGCAAGCAGCAGCAGCAGCAGACGATGCTACAGCAGCAGCAGCAGCAGACGATGCTACAGCAGCAGCAGCAGCAGACGATGCTACAGCAGCAGCAGACGATGCTACAGCAGCAGCAGCAGCAGCAGACGATGCTACAGCAGCAGCAGCAGCAGCTGACAGTGCTACAGCAGCAGCACAGATGCTACAGCAGCAGCAGACGATGCTGCAGCTGACAGTGCAGCAGCAGCAGCTGACAGTGCAGCAGCAGCAGCAGCAGCAGCTGACAGTGCAGCAGCAGCTGTACCACCAATAGATAGCGATGGTTGATTGGGGTTTATTATACAACCTGGCCAGCTCGGAGATCGCACTCCACTTTCATACTTATCAATGATCTTTTTCTTCATCTCTATAGTAATTCTCACCCTTATTGCTGTAGGGTTGGCACTAGAAGCTTTCTTGGGGCCCATGGTCACTTATTTTCCAGATAAAATCACCAAAAACACTGTAATAATACGAAATGTTACGATTGTATGCTTGGATGCTACCGCGGAGGCTGGCTGGTAAACAATGCCACCGGCGGAACATGTGAGGCTGGCTAAGGCGCACATTGGACGCGTCTCGGTCGAACAGCGGTGAGCGGGTTTTTAAGTGGTATGAGAGGCAAAATTTTTGCGATTAAAGCAAGCGGTATGCGGATTAATCATTATGTGATGCCAACGGTATGCGGGGGTCCACTGTATTATTATTATTATTATTATTATTATTATTATTATTTATTATTATTATTATTATTATTATTATCATCATCACTCCGGCTGATTCCCACCAAGGCAGGGTGACCCAAGAGAAAAACTTTCATCATTCACTCCATCACTGTCTTGCCAGAGGTGTGCTTACACTACAGTCATAAAACTGCAACATTAACACCTCTCCTTCAGAGTGCAGACACTGTACAGTGGACCCTCGGTTATTGGCCGTTCCTGTTATCGGCCAACTCAGTGATCAGCCATTTTTTCGGCTCCCAGTGATCGGCCGTTTCGGACATGTCTGTCTGCTGGCTGGGGCTGCTTGCACGTCAGTTTGGCTGTCTCTTGGTGTGCGAGGAAGCTTCTGCTCGTACATCCAAACATTTCGCTTGTTTTCCTTTTTTTTTTTTTTTTTTTTTTAAAGTGCAACTGCGAAATAAGTAACCATGGCTCCAAAGAAAGTTCCTAATAAAGTTCCTGTGGTAAAGAAAGTGAGAAACACCATGGGTGAGAATTAGTATGCAAATTAAGAAAGATTTTGAAGGGTTTGGGGCTAACCTTCTCCTGAGAAGCCTATGCCAGTTGTGGAATCCATTGTGCTTACTTCAAAGATTAAGGAAATGTGTGCAAAGTGGGTTGAAGTGCAAACCTTTAGGGATGAAAATCACCCTAACACAGCTATTGCAAGCCGTGCTGGTGACTATTAAAATGACACTGTTGTGGCCCATTTTAGGCAAATCTTAAAGGAACGGGAGGTACAGACCTCTATGGACAGATTTGTTGTGCGACAGAGGTCCAGTGACTCAAGCTAGTCCTAGTGGCATTAAAAGAAGGGAAGTAACCCCAGAAAAGGACTTGCTACCTCAAGTCCTAATGGAAGGGGATTCCCCTTCTAAACAATAACTTCCACACACTCCCCTCCTCCCATCCCATCAGTCATCACCAGATCTTCAATAAAGGTAAGTGTCATATACAGTGGTCCCTCGTTTTTTGTAATTAATCAGCTCCTGGAGGAGCTACTATAAACGAAATTTAAGATTTGCAAATCAATTTTCCCTATAAGAAATAATGTAAATACAATTAATCCATACCTGACACCCAGAAGTATTAACCCTTTCAGGGTCCGTCCCGTAGATCTACGGCTTCACGTTGAGTGTCCAAACCGTAGATCTATGCCAAAATTCTAGCGCCGTCAAATTTAGCGCGAAAGCTCTCATAGGCCTACATGTGAGAGAACGGGTCTGCGCCATGAACAAAAAATCTAGGCACCCGCATAGCATTGTGGGAACGCCGGCTCAGTTACCCTTGTTCACCATGCCTCGTTGCAAGTCAGCTCTCAATTCCCGGAAAATTGGGACTCTCCTCTTCCTATCTGATAGTTCTGACACTGATGGAAATGAAGACGAATTCTACGGCTTTGATCAGTTAGTGACCGAAAGGAATGACCAGGATATCGATAATGGTGCAGAAAACTCTTGACGATCCTCAACCTTCTACCTCTGGTGTGGGTACTCGTGACTCAGGGTCGGTTGTGCCTCAACGCAAGAGAAAACTATTATTTTCGCGTGGCCAGGCCTCTGGCTTCAGTAATGATGATAGTGACGTGGATTGTGATTTTATTGCGCTCGATGATCATTAGAATAGTGATAGTGAGGAATCATATTCACCAGTGAAACGTCGGTATGTTCGCCGCCGCATGCGCTCGGGTAGTGTACCCTATGCTGTGCCCAGGGGACGGAGTACATCCCGGAGTACATCCCGTGGCCCTACACCAGTTTTAGGTAGTGATAGTGAGGATGATCTGGCTACACTTGGCATGGATAGACCACAGGCATCAGTGGATGGTGGTAGTGGTGATGGTAGTGGCACCGCCATGTGTGACTCACCAGCCCAGGCTGGGACCCATGCTGCTGACTCGTCAGTTCAAGGACAAAGCGGAGCGTCAACCACCAGCCCACCACAACCACCCGCACAACCACCCTATGATGTCCAGTATCCACCAGCAAACCATATGTGGGATTGGCAGCAAAATCCCAATTTTGTTCCCAAGCCTCACCACTTTGATGACTCTCAAAGTGGAATTCTACCTACTTGTCCCCTTGGAACCACGGCCAATGAACTGGAATTCTTTGAATTATTCTTTGACCAGCCATTGATGGAAACTATTGTCAGGGAAAGTAATAAGTATTTTGAGTACACCATGACAAATACAATCATATCAACACAGTCAAGACTACACAGGTGGAAAGAGACGACTGTTGCAGAAATGTATTTGTTTTTTGCAACAATAATGCTTATGCCTCATGTCTATAAGCATAATATAAAAGCATACTGGTCCACAGATCAGCTAATTTCTACACCTGTCTTCAGTGAAATCATCCCAGTGAACAGGTTTATCTTACTCTTACGTATGTTGCACTTCTCTGACAAAACCAGGCCTGACAGAAGTGACAGGTTATATAAGATTAGAAATGTTTTCATGTATCTCAAACAAAAGTTCAGCATATACTTTTATCCATTCAAGAATGTTGTAATTGACGTGTCTTTGATTTTGTTCAAAGGTAGACTGTCATTCAAGCAGTATATACCGAGCAAGAGGAAACGCTTTGGTATAAAACTGTTTGTACTGTGACAGTGGCCTGGTGTTGGTTATTGTTGTATACATGGGAAGTAAAACATTGAAAGATACCAAGATGTTATTGGGTATCTCAGGTGACGTAGTGAGAAACATGATGGCACCTTATCTTGGTAAGGGGCATACATTATATACCGATAACTGGTACACAAGCCCATTACTCAGTGATTTCATGCGAAGTGAACAAGACAGATGTGTGTGGCACAGTGCGTTCTAATCGTAAACATATGCCCAGGCTCAATGCAGGTGCTCATGGTGATGACGTGCAGGTGTTTACTGCCAATGACATCATGGCATTACGGTGGCATGACAAACGAGATGTCACATTGTTGACAACCATTCACCTTAATGAAATGCAAGACAATAGTAAAGTTGATAATGACTAATGAACGTATTTGAAAACCAGTGACA